TTTGGTCTTTAGGGCTGTTTTCCTGGAAATCTTTGGAGACTCTTAAGACTGTTTCCCCCCGGAAAGTCTTAAAACTGTTCTCCCCTGGAAGGTCTTGGATGCTCTTAAGATTGTTTTCCCCTGGAAAGTCTTAAGGGTTGAAGCTTTTGTACAGGGGAAACTTGCACACGTCCTGTACATTAGTTTTTCTTGCTGAGACTAACTGAAAATGGCTCCCTTCCCTTCCCAATTGCACTGAGCAAGGGGCACAACCAAAACTTAATGATGATGGACAGGTGACTTGCCCTATGACTGCAACCAAAGGAAGCCACCTATCTGCAGAGTCCCTGAAACCTTGGACTGCAAGCAAACATTTAATACAAAGCAAATAAAATTGGAGCTCCTGGTACAGCCATACCAGAACAGTTCTGGTTATGTATTTTTCACATTACCTCCATTTTAGCATTTGTCCAACGAGGCACTTCCACAATCATGTTAAAGATGATCTTAAAGAAGTAAAAAAAAAAAGGAAATGTTTATTGGAAATGAAACAAAAGCATGTTAAAACACACAGTGAAAATGACACCGATCAACGTCAGGGCTCATGAGAAACTTTAAGCACTTTCCTAGCTAACGGTGACTGAACAGCTTTCTGTTCTTGAGACATAAACTCATTCTCATGCTTTTCTATCAAGACAGGGATGGATCATTTCAGCTGAATGAGAAATGTTGGGAAATGTTGCCCAAAATAACTCAACTGCCCAATTTTGCCCATTCCGTTTTAAGATCTGTATGAAATAAATATTCCATGAGAATAGTGAGGCAGGAATCCACAGAGAATAGTGAAGCTCTTCCTTCCCTAGTTGGCTCCTTCAGCTCTGCAGATGACTTGATTCCACTCCCAAAACAAAAGCTGCCTTTGATAAGGCCACTGGGACAGGATCTGGAAGACGCTGCTGTGAATTGCAGATGTAAATCATTCAGACTGATTATGCCTGGTTCTCAGTCATGCGTATGAAGTGTGTGGCCAAATTCTATTTATGGAAAGCTATTTCAATGAGCATCTTTTGTCTTTCTTAAAACTTTTCCTGTAGCAAATTTAGTCACTGGTGCGTATCCCTGATTAGGAATCCTTTGGCAAAAAGGATGACAGAGCCAACGGCACACTCTACTGGTTCCAATGGAAAGTTAACTAAAACCCAATTTGTTTTCATGTAGTTTTATGCCAAGTGATGCCTTCTTTGCAAAGGCATATGTTGGATACAATTATTCTATGATTTGATGGAAAAAATCTGACTTGACATGTAGTCCTACAGCACTTGTGAAGAATGCTATAGATATTCATTATAAAGGTAATATAATTATGAAGGTTATAAAGGAATTCTATAGATACTCATTATAAATGTCAATTAGACTTGACATTAAGTCTAATTGAGTGTGACTCTGAGGGTTGGTGCTCATCTCCATTTCTAAGCCGCAGAGCCGGCATTGTCCATAGGCACCTCCTAGGTCATGTGGCTGGAATGACTACATGGAGTGCCATTATCTTCCCACCAATGTTGTACCTACTGATCTACGCACATTGGCATGTTTTCGAACTGTTAGGTTGGCAGAAGCTGGGGCTAACAACGGGCGCTCACCTCGCCCCAAGGTTTTGAACTGCCAACCTTCCAGTCAAGTTCTGCAGCTTAGCAGTTTAACCTGCTGTGCCACCACAGCCCCTAGATACTCATTACAGGTAAAAGTAAGGAAAAGGTTTTCCCCTGACATGAAGTCCAGTCATGTCCCACTCTGGGGTGTGCTGCTCATCTCCATTTCTAAGCCAAAGAGCTGGCATTGTCCCTAGACACCTCCAAAGTCATGTGGCCGGCATGACTGCATGGAGCGCTGTTACCTTCCTGCCGGAGTGGTACATTTGCATGTTTTCGAACTACTAGGTTGGTAGAAGCTGGGGCTGACAGCGGAAGCTCATGCCGCTCCCCGGATTCGAACCTGTGACCTTTCGGTCAACAAGCTCAGCAGCTCAGCGCTTTAAACCACTGTGCCACTCATTTTACTAGACCCTAATATATATGTGAAATGTACTACCACCCTGTGGAGAGAAAAGGTATATAAAATTTTAGTGTCAGGAGCAACTTGAGAAACTGCAAGTCACTTCTGGTGTGAGAGAATTAGCCATCTGCAAGGACGTTGCCCAGGGGATACTCGGATGTTTGGTTTTTTTTACCATTCTGTAGAAGCCTTCTCTCTTGTCCCCGAATGGGAAGCTAGAGCTCGCCAGACAGGAGCTTTCCTCGCTCCCCAGATTTGAACCGTCAGCCTTTCAGTCGACCAGTTCAGCTGGCACAAGTTTAACTCACTGCACCACTGGGGGGGGGGGGGCATAATAATAATTAGAGTGTCCTTTACCTCAAGCCCTGACTGACTCCTGACCACCAAATCCGCCTGCTGGTTCCTCCTACACAGTAAGACCTACATGAAATGATTCCTGTTTCTTCTGGAACTTATTACACTGAAGATTTGAGTCAGAAAAGAAAAAGTTGCCTTGGTTCTCATTCTACCACAAGGTTAGGATATAAAAATGGTCTTAGCAGAACAAACAGAGATAACAATTTATATATAGCATTTCTTCAAAAAATATGAAAGGGGAGTTAAATGCATAAAAACCCTCATTGGTGTTTCTACGTATTTCAATATTTTGGTAATCTAAAGAAGAATCAGAGACTGCACTCAGGAGCTTTCAAGCCTTGGAATATACGTCAAAGTATTTTTCAAAGATGGGAAGTGTTCCTTTTGGAAGATTTTGCAGAGCTGGTGAAGTTACTTTCTGGACAAGAGCAACCAGAAGCAAGTGACCATGCTGTGATGAGATATTGAAGCTTTGGTTCAAATACAGAACTTTTAAAACCTCTAAGCACTTGCTTTCTGAGGATTCAAGTGCCCATCAGGAATATTGGTGACATCTTTGAGTTTTTAACTGGAAATTCACCTTGTAGGTGCAAGATACAGAAAGTACCAAAAAAAAACAACCCTCTTTTAGAACTTGCACACATCTATTCTCCTCCACCAAGGTTTCAACACAAGGAACATCAAAGACCACAGCTCTTCAACAGTCAGCTATTATGAGTTTTAAAACATATCCCCCTGTCCATATAATAATGCCAAGAGGGCAGCCCAAAGATCAGGCGAGGAGGATTGGGCAGTTGCCGCATGTCCCATTTCTCTCCTGACATAACAATGGTGTGAGGAGCCCTGTCCTTATGCCAGGAGGACAACTTGAGAATGACCAGGGCCTTGCCTTGCCCCCTGCCAGCCCCACCCTTTTCCAGGCCCTTCCCCTTCCTGGGCCCATCCCACCCAGCACGTGCCTGGCTCCCCTTCCTCCCGGCCGGGCCCACAATGGAGCCCCAAGGCAAAAAAGTTCACCCATGTCTGATATATTGTATTTCAATGAATCACAGCACATACTTTTGCCACGGTCATACCTCATTTCCAGTAGTCCTTGATTTTTTTGCAGGAATCTCCTGAACCTATGTTGGGAAACAGAAAAGCAACACTGTATACACAATACAGTTTACAAAGATGGAAAGGCACAACGAAGTAGGATCAAAAATCAGAAATAATTGAATTAAAAACAATCAAGTACAGGGTTCAAGTTCAATGCAGGTAAAATTAAGGCTGCAATCCTTTTCACATTTACTAGAAATGATATACTGAATCCAACTGAATACTAAAGTCAATTTGTATGGGATTTGGCTGTATAATATATACTTATTCTTCTATGGAAATGATATGGCTAACTCCTCAAACCTCACCACGGAATGAAATATAAAGCCCAGTTCTTTATAACTGGGCCGGGCAACTTAGTTGGTATGAGAAAGCAGATAAAACCACTTTCCACTCTGTTAAAGATGCATACAATCCATAAATTCGGCCAGATTATCTTATGGGTGAAAAAAAATCAGAATACACACCATTCCTTTCCATGGTCTTTAGGAGAATCGCAGCGCAAGCTTTGGCCTCCATTGATTCTCCAATTTTTTTCTCAGTTCTACAGTGTAATGATATGGATAGGACTGGAAACCTTGTCTATGGAAAGCTTTCATTCTATTGCACTGAGCTACACTTAATCTCACTGTTTGGACACAAAGCAATGGGTTAAAATGAAAGGAAAGGGATTCCACCTAAACAGTATTTTAAATGTCCTGACATCCTATTCAACAATGGAACACTGCCTAGGAGTGTGATGGAGCCTGCTTCTCCAGAGGTTTTTAAACAAAGGTTGGATGGACATCTGTCAGGAGTACTTTGATTGCGTATTTCTGCATAACAGAACAGGGTTGGGTTGGATGGGCCTTGAGGTCTCTTCCAACTGTAGGATTCTGTGATACTGAGACTAGTTGAAGCTCTCCAGAAGCTAGGGATGACCTTGGCAATGTCTACATGTAATGCTCTGCATGTAATGCTCGATAAAATAGTGAAGAGTAGAGACATCACACTGGCAACAAAGATCCGCCTAGTCAAAGCCATGGTATTCCCTGTCGTAACCTATGGATGTGAGAGCTGGACCTTAGGGAAGGCTGAGCGAAGGAAGATAGATGTTGAACTGTGGTGCTGGAGGAAAGTTCTGAGAGTGCCTTGGACTGCGAGAAGATCCAACCAGGCCATCCTCCAGGAAATAAAGCCCGACGCTCACTGGAGGGAAAGATAATAGAGACAAAGTTGAAGTACTTTGGCCACATCATGAGGAGACAGGAAAGCCTAGAGAAGACAATGATGCTGGGGAAAGTGGAAGGCAAAAGGAAGAGGGGCCGAACAAGGGCAAGATGGATGGATGGCATCCTTGAAGTGACTGGACTGACCTTGAAGGAGCTGGGGGTGGTGACGGCCGACAGGGAGCTCTGGCGTGGGCTGGTCCATGAGGTCACGAAGAGTCGGAGACGACTGAACGAATGAACAACAACAAAAAAATAAAAAAACCTAAAGCAAAGCTGTGCAAATCTGTGCAAAATCAGCTAGCTGCCCCATAACAAAATGTGTGGTCTTTGAAAGGACAACACTATGTGACACGATTTTGGTTCCTGGGTTTTTTCCTAATTAGGTCTATCATAAAAATTCAGAAAACGTTTATTAAACTGCAAAAACATTTTTGCGGGACATCCTGTACCACATTTTGCTTTAGTTTTTCAATAATATCTCATTGAGTCTCAACCAATTCAATGTAGTTTGTGGCAGCCACAAAAATGAAGTTTCTGGAATATAACAACTGCTTTCAAAGTAAGTACCACACAATTAAACAGGAAATAACACAATCAAACCAGGAACATATTTTTTTTCAAATTTTGATACATAGTGTTATTAGTAAAGGTAAAGGTTTCCCCTGACATTAAGTCCAGTCATGTCTGACTCTGGGGGGGGGGGGGGGGGGGGGGTGTGCTCATCTCCATTTCTAAGCCGAAGAGCCGGCATTGTCCATAGACACCTCCAAGGTCATGTGGCCAGCATGACTGCATGGAGCACCGTTACCTTCTCACTGGAGTGGTACCTATTGATCTATTCACATTTGAATGTTTTCAAACTGCTAGGTTGCCAGAAGCTAGGGCTGACAGCGGAAGCTCACGCCGCTACCTGGAATCAAACCTGTGACCTTTCCGTCAACAAGCTCACCACTCAGTGCTTTAACCCACTGTGCCACTGGGGGCTCTGTGTTATATGATGACTAATTCCTATGGCAGTCACTGCTATGGGTTTGACAAAAGTGACAGTTCATTACAGTTTGAGATCAAACAAAAAAGGGGGAAGTGTTGATGATTGGTTTCCTGAATTAGCAGTTCATCTATTTCATTGCAGAAGATAGGTGTATGGCAGAATCAGCAGTGTGTTGCTTTTCCAATTTGTTGATGTGAAAGTAAAGCAGCTTAGAATCTCTTTCTCATTCTGAACTTGGAAAAAACTTGGTAAAAGTAATGTTGTTGGGAAGTAAAGCAACTTAAGGTCTCTTATCTCTTTCTCACTCAGAGCTTTAAGGGTTATAGAGGTCTTCAAAATGAATTTACTAAATAATTGTTGTTCTTTCTTTCAGCCGCCTCCGACTCTTCGTGACCTCATGGACCAGCCCATGCCAGAGCTCCCTGTCAGCCATGGCCACCCCCAGCTCCTTCAAGGTCAAGTCAGTCACTTCAAGGATACCATCCATCCATCTTGCCCTTGGTCGACCCTCTTCCTTTTTTTCCTTTTCAACAAGGTTATGAAAGCAATTTTTCCACAAAAGAGTATGATTTGAAAGCTAAAAGTGAAAAACAGAACTGTTTTTTTAAAAACATTTAGTAGGTTTAATCTTCCCACAACCACTTCCACAAATGAAGAATGTTATATAGGTAATAATTACCTCATTTGAGCCAACACAGAGAGGAATATCATGGAATGGAGAGATATATTTTCCTTTTGAATTCTCTACAAGATTAAAGAAAAGGTTGTAAGCAAAGACATACAATGCTCTATATATATATCAGGCATGGGCAAACTTCAGCCCTCCAGGTGTTTTGAACTTCAACTCCCACAATTCCTAACAGCCTAATCAACCCAGTATTTTGACAACACATACAATTCTCTGTGTGTGTGTGTTCTAAGCAATCAAGCGAAGAAGTTTCCAATTAACTATTGTGTCCTGTTTTTTCTGAACCAGGAAGATATGTCGGGCAAGTCAGCTCCCAACACGTCCTTATTGCCCTCCCCTCAAGCCACGCCCCCAGAACGCCATGTACCAACAAGCCCCGCCCCTAGAGTGGTTTGCAAGTCCCACCTTAGAACGCCAACAAGGAGCAAGCCCCGCCCCTAGAACGCCATGTACCAGCAAGCCCCGCCCCTAGAACGCTTTGTAGAAGCGAGTCCCACCTTGGAACTCCAGAGGAGCAAGCCACGCCCCTAGAACGCCACTAAACAGCAAGCCCCGCCCCAAGAACGCTTTGCAGAAGCAATGCGAGCAAGTCCCGCCCCTAGAACGCCACTTAATAGCAAGCCCCGCCCCTAAAACGCTTTGTAGCAGCAAGTCCCACCTTGGAACGCCAGAGGAGCAAGCCACGCCCCTAGAACGCTTTGCAGAAGCAAGTCCCACCTTAGAATGCGAGCAAGCCCCGCCCCTAGAACGCCACTTTATAGCAAGCCCCGCCCCTAAAACGCTTTATAGCAGTAAGTCCCACTTTAGACCACTAGAGCAAGCCCCGCCCCTAGAAAGCTTTGCAGAAGCAAGTCCAACCTTAAGTGAGCAAGCCCCGCCCCTAGAAAGCCACTTAATAGCAAGCCCCGCCCCTAAAACGCTTTGTAGAAGCAAGTCCCACCTTGGAACGCCAGAGGAGCAAGCCACGCCCCTAGAACGCCATGTACCAGCAAGCCCCGCCCCTAGAACGCAAGTCCCACCTTAGAATGCGAGCAACCCCCGCCCCCAGAACGCAATAGTAAGCCCCGCCCCTAAAACGCTTTGTAGCAGCAAGTCCCACTTTAGACCGCTAGAGCAAGCCTCGCCCCTAAAAAGCTTTGTAGAAGAAAGTCCCATCTTGGAACGCCAGAGGAACAAGCCCCGCCCCTAGACCGCCTCTAAACAGCAAGCCCCGCCCCTAAAACGCTTTGCAGAAGCAAGTCCTGTCTCAAAACGCAAGGGGAGCAAGCCCCGCCTCTAGAACGCCATGTACCAGCAAGCCCCGCCCCTAAGACGCTTTGGAGAAGCAAGTCCCAATTTAGAACGCTGAGGAGCAAGCCCCGCCCCTAGAACAACATACATCAGTAAGCCCCGCCCCTAGAACACCATGTACCTGCTAGTCCCACTTTAGAAGGCAAAAGTGGAGCAAGCCCCGCCCCTGGAACGCCATGTACCAGCAGTGTCCCAGCAAGCCCCGCCCTTCAGAACGCCACGTACCGACAAGCCCCGCCTTTTAGAACGCTCTCTATCAGCAAGCCCCGCCCCTTGAAAGCCCTGTTGCAATGCTGCGTTTGAGGCACTATTCTATGACTCTTACTTACTGAAGTACAGTCGGTAGTCGGGCGCGTGGAGCTTCCCGCGCTGCTCGGTGCCGTAGTGCGCCATGAGGCCGCTTTGCCAGCGACCGGCGCCCAGCTGCGGAGGAAGAGCAAAGCGCGCCGGCGTCCTGACGTAAGAGGAGCGGCTGGGCAGCAGGAGCCGCCGCAGGAGCGGAGCCAGAGCGGAGCCGGCGCGCATGCTGGACGGAAGGAGCGCAGGAAGGAAGGAAGGCAGGCAGCCTTCAGCTTTGGCGGGCGGCCCCTCCTCCTTCTCTTTCTCCGGGGAGTCGGACCGCCCTCTAGTCCATGCCGACGACGGCGCCTTTGCCCTCGACTTTTGTTGACACGGGAAAAGAGGGCGAGGAGCCAAACATGCAGCAGGACGGGACACGGAACCTTGGCCCCAGGATTCCTTAGCATTGAGTGCTTCCATGCAGCTTGGCCTCTCTTTCACTGCCAAGGGAATCATGGGAGTTGTAGTTTTGCAAGTTCTTCCGCCTTCTCTGCCCAAGAGTGATGGCAACTCACCAGATCACAACTCCCAGGATGCTGTGGCGGCTGAGGGGGAAAAGGAAAGGGCCTGAGGCTGTTAGGAATGCTGGAAGTTGGAGTCCAAAACACCTGGAAGGCCCAATCTGGCCCCCATAACAAATGGTCCAGGCTTCATTCAACCCCAGATGGCCATCTGTTGGGAGTGCTTTGATTGTGTATTGCCGTGGTACCTGGTTGCATGGCCATTGTGGTCTCTTCCAACTCTCGCCATCTGTCGGGGGTGCTTTGAATGTGATTTTCCTGCTTCTTGGCAGGAGGTTGGACTGGATGGCCCATGAGGTCTCTTCCAACTCTAGGATTCTGATCCTGAAGCAAGGCTATCAAAGGGTTGTTAGTGGTTGGTCATTCCCTAATCTCTCTCTATATATAAATACTCTGTGCATAATGAGTTCCTTAAAAACAAAAGAACCAATGAGCGAAATCACTCCAAATTTGGCAACAAAATGTCTCACTACATAAGGAGTGACCATCACTCAAAAAATTATGATTTTGTCATTTGGGAGTTGTAGTTGTTGGGATTTATAGTTAACCTACAATCAAAGAGCATTCTGAACCCCACCAACGATGGAATTGAACCAAACTTGGCACACAGGCCTCCCATGACCAACGGAAAATACTAGCAGCGTTTCGTGGGCATTGACCTTGAGTTTGGGAGTTGTAGTTCACCTACATCCAGAGAGCACTGTGGACTAAACAATGATGGATCTGGACCAAACTTGCCATAATATTCCATATGCCCAAATATGAACACAGATGGAGTTTGGGGGAAATAGACCTTGGCATTTGAGAGTTGTAGTTACTGGGATTTATAGTTCACCTACAATCAAAGACCATTCTGAATGAACCCCACAAATGACAGAACTGGGGCAAATTTCCCACAAAGAACCCCCATAACCAACAGAAAATACTTAAGACCATCCAGTCCAACTCCCTTCACCAGGGTAAGAAAACAAAACGTAATCAAAGCCCTCCTGACAGAGAGCCATGAAGCCATAGATATAGATGATTCGCACACACACACATAGTATCATAGATTTGAAAGGGATCCCTACAGAAGGACAATTATATGTTGCATGTTCCAGAGTAGGCAAACCAGACAATCTCGACATCAACACTGACAAAGAAACAGCAAGAAAAACTGTTGACCCATAAGCGTTAAGAAATTACAAAATTAGAAACCAACACTTTCTCATTGCTTTATTTTCCAGATCACCAGACTGGGCCACAGCAACACGTGGCAGGGGACCGCTAGTAATAATAATAATAATAATAATAATAATACACTTTATTTATAACCCACCACTATCTCCCCAAAGGGGACTTGGTGCGGCTAACATGAGGGCAAGCCCAAAATAATACAACATAATAAATGCACAATAACAAAATACATCATAACAAAATGTAAATGGTCACTCAGTGGGTTTTCATAGTCTGGCAGGTACCACACTAAAACATGAGGAAGAACTTGACTGTGAGAGCCGTTCAGCAGTGGAACTCTCTGCTCCGGAGTGTGGTGGAGGCTCCTTCTTTGGAAGCTTTTAAACAGAGGCTGGATATGGCCATCTGTCAGGGGTGATTTGAATGCAATATTCCTGCTTCTTGGCAGGGGGTTGGACTGGATGGCCCATGAGGTCTCTTCCAACTCTAGGATTCTATGATTCTATGCTTGATCAATGTGTTGTCAAAGGCATTCATGGCCGTAATCACTGGGTTACTGAGAGTTTTCCGGTCAGTATGGCCGTGTTCCAGAAGCATTCTCTCCTGACGTTCCGCCCACATCTATGACAGGCACCCTCAGAGGTTGTGAGGTCTGATCAGTTTATGTTTACCAGCGTTATTAGCCAGATAGCCAGGAGGTTAAAAGAACCAGTCAGACCAGTTCAGAACTAAGCTGTTACTGCAAGCTACAGATTTCCTTTTATGGGGCCCATCCATTTCTTCTCAGAAGGCAGTTATTTGGCTCATGGCACCTGAACGGAGCAGATTAAATGCTTACTTGATGGAAACTAGCAAGTTGAAGTTTGCATTCTGTTCTCTGCAAGCAGGTTGCATCTCATCAGCCCTGAAACAAAGGAGGAGATGCACAAACTGAACATTACAACAAATACACTATATAACACAGTTTTTGTTTCTGGGTTATAAATGTTATTTCTTAATAGGTTCTATCATAAAAACCATGAAAAAAGGTTTATTAAACTGCAAAAACTTTGTTCTTGTGGGACATCCTACAGCACATTTTGCTATAGTTTTTTAATTAATATCTCATAGAGCAAGTATAAGCAAACCCAGGCCCGGGGCCCAGATTCGGCCCCTTGGGCTCTTTTCTCAGGTCCTCCTCTCACCATCTTAGCCCCCGGTAGTGCAGTGGGTTAAACCCCTGTGCCGGCAGGACTGAAGACCGACAAGTTGCAGGTTCTAATCTGGGGAGAGGCAGATGAACTCCCTCTATCAGTTCCAGCTCCTCATGCGGGGACATAAGAGAAGCCTCCCACAAGGATGATAAAAACATCAAATCATCCGGGCGTCCCCTGGGCAATGTCCTTGCAGACGGCCAATTCTCTCACACCAGAAGCAACTTGCAGTTTCTCAAGTCACTCCTGACACAACAAAAAACCATCCTAGCCTGCCTTCTCTCTTTCCTTCCTCCTTCCCTTCCTTTCTTACCTCTCGCTTTCTCCCTCCTTCCTTCCCTTCCACCCCTTTGTCCTTCCTTCCCTCTTCCCTCTTTCCTCCCTCCATCCCTCTCTCCTTTCTCCTTCCAGAATCACTGGGTTGTTGTAGGTTTGTTGGGTTGTAGGTTTGTTGGGTTGGGTCACTGGGTTGTTGATGGCCGGAATCACTGGGTTGTTGTAGGTTTTTTCGGGCTATATGGCCATGTTCTAGAGGCATTCTCTCCTGACGTTTCGCCTGCATCTATGGCAAGCATCCTCAGAGGTAGTGAGGTCTGTTGGAACTAGGAAAATGGGTTTATATATCTGGAATGACCAGGGCAGGACAAAGAACTCTAGAGCTAGGTGTAAATGTTTCAACTGACCACCTTGATTAGCATTTGATGGCCTGGCAGTTGTTTTGTGTGGCTTGTTGGTGCCTGGGGCTAGACTCGTGTTAGAATTTGTTTTCTTTCATTTTGTATTTGTTTGAATAACTTGTCACGTACGGGTTGTAAATGAGCATTTTAAAGTCCCATTTCTTCCAGTGAATGAAACACTATGGACTCCTTTGCCCATCGAGAGGATTATATATCCTGCTTATTTTCATCAATGCCAATTTATAGTGCTGTTGCAAAAGAAAAAAAATCATATCTTTGCTTGATGCGACCTTGCCTTTACACAATGTCCCATGTCCCAAAGTCATAATGCCAAAATGTGTTTTTGCAAGCTCTTCTAATAAAATGCACCATTAATTTTTTTGAGGTCTTTTGGCTCTTTCTCAAAAACATACAAGTCGTCCTGTTCTTTTCTTGACTGCTTATATTGAATATCTAGTCACCTTCCTGTATACACATTACACACTAAATTTTTGTGTATGTATCAATTCAGATTCCCCATTTTTGCTGAAGCAGGAGAAACCGGTATTACTTGCTGGAATTGCTGACCCTCCTTGTTTGAATTCTCTCTTCTGCAAAACCTCTAAGGATCATTAAGGGCATATAACTTAATTAAATCAAACCTTTCAGCTATGAAATGCAGGTGCAATTGCCTAAGGCAATCCATCCACCAGTGATAGTTTTCCTTTGGTGTTTTTTCTTGTACTCAGATATCAAAATGCCAGATCAGTTCTGATCTGCTTGGATATGTGTGTGTGCCTTCAAGTTGCCTGTCAATTTATGAGGACCCATTTCATAGGTTTTTTTTTTTTACATAAGACATATGCAGAGGTTTTGCCAGTTCTCTTCTGTGAAACATAGCCTACAACACCTGGTATTTGTTGGTCTCCCATCCAAGTACTAACTAGGGCTGTCCCTCCTTAGCTTCAAAAATCAGGCAGGAAATGGGCTATTTAGAATATTTATGCTTCTGTTACTATGTCTTCCAGGCTCAGTCTTGGCTGTTTGTAACTTGGAAGAATGTACAAACCATAGTCTCACTTGCTATCTGTTTAGATTGTACCATAGTAAGAAGGAGGATCCCAGGGCCAAAACACTATAGCCCACCTTCTTTCTAGTGAGCCAGTAATGATCCAAACAGGAAAACACACTTTTTATATGTGCACAAGCATGTAGTGTTTGAATGGGCAGTTGTGAGTGTCTGCTGTTAGTATTTAATGTATGGTGTTTAATAACATCACCAGGATCCTTAAGTCTCGGGTTTTGGCCTGAAAACACCAGGACTTGAGCTGGTCCTGAACTAGCAACCCTATCAGCCGTCATAAGAATGAGGTTCGTTTCCTAGCAGACAGTTCTATTAGCTTAGCAATTTTTTTTTGTCGTGTCAGGAGCGACTTGAGAAACTGCAAGTCGCTTCTGGTGTGAGAGAATTGGCCGTCTGCAAGGACGTTGCCCAGAGGACGCCCGGATGTTTTGATGTTTTATCATCCTTGTGGGAGGCTTATCTCATGTCCCCACATGAGGAGCTGTAGCTGATTAGAGGGAGCTCATTCACGCTCTCCCCTGATTCAAACCTGTGACCTGTTGGTCTTCAGTCCTGCCGGCACAGGGGTTTGACCCACTGCACTACCGGGGGCTCCAATAACAGTGAGCTTAGCAATGAAAGTGAGGGAAAAGGGTTTACTTCTATAACAAAAAATGTGGTGCTCCCTCTGGAATTTCAAAGTGAGACACCCCAATGATTTTTTAGAACTCCATGGATATACCTTTATGAAAGTATGCAGAATAATTTTAAACC